GTTAGCGTTTCTGTTGGTCTAACTATCGATATTCTTAGCGTTTCTTTGATTTATTTGCGCCGCCTCTAATTTCAATTACCGTATAAATCGGTAACCTAGAGGTGATCAGCAGGACAAGCACAAGTCGTGATACATTCATGTCCCTCGATTCTGTGGCAACTCGGCTACCTGCACACACAATTAAGAACTGGGCGAAAGTGGGAATTTTGCGAAGTACTGGATACCACCGATGACACGGCTGCTCACGGTGAACCTGACAACTCCATCGTATCGTTTCACGAATTTTAGATATTCCTGCTTGATCTTTCGTCAGAAAGGAAGATACATGATGGCGGGATAATTACCTACATTAGAGAGGAAAGGTGCGCCAAGCCTACCATTGAGTTGGGCTTCGAATCTGACAGTGCTGACAATCTTATAATCCAGTGATAGAAACGTGTCATGCGCAGGTAAAAGTACGTGCTGTTGGGGAATATCTGCCTAGCCTCAGATTGCGATGCTCTGGGTTGGGCTCGAATAATTCGCTAATGCCTCGACTTCGTTCCTCTCGTCAGATTTCGAGCAAAATTTAGTCATCGGCTGGTTATTTCAATGTTCATCGTTTGAATTGCCTCCAGCTCCTCGACCTAGCCCCATATTATACAGTTCCAAACATGCGGCAAAGACCTTTATCATGTGTATGAAAATATGCGCGCCATGCACTCTGCTTATAGGGATACAGAACTCTGGATGTCAGACCACTGCATCATTTGCGTTTTGCGAACGCTCGGCAGTGGGATTTACATGAATGTTCCGGAAACCCTGTGGCCTATTTTAGCGTTCGGAAGCCATATACTGCCGGGCCGGATCTTACGTGTAGAAGATGTTCTGAATCTGCGGCAATTTTTGTCCTCGATTCTCTGGTCTGATCTGCCAATGAAGCTTAGAAATCAAAAATTACTGGATTACTATAATCCTGAAAGACAGCTTCGACGCTTTCTTCCATTCCAGAAAATTCAGCTGCCTGAGAGCCACATTACATTCAAGACATTGCAGCGTCTCCGATGCCAGAAGGAGAGAGCCTACAAACTAGGAAGTCGTCA